TTAGAGTTTATTTGGCCCGCCAGACTCCTCAGATCCTCTGGCGGGCCCAGGCTTTTGATTTAGCCGGGCAGGAAGCGATGAAGTGTCCACTCTCTCCACAGTAGATACATAGTTTGCTTAGAAAACGCCTTTGCCTCTCCTCTGGAGTGAGCCTGGTGTGTCCCACCTGCATGGGTTCGACATCCCTTTCGCCCGAATGAGAGGCCTGAACAGGTAACGGTAGAGACTGGGACTTAGGCCTCTGAATGGGCGGCTGCTCTGTAGAGGAAGAACAAACAGTCAGGTTATGTGGGGCAGAAGAAAGTATACCCTGCTTCTTTGAACTGTTTCTGGCACGAATTCTATTATCCAATCTAATGGAGAGGCGAATTAAGTCTTCGAGGGTAGCAGGTTCGTCGAGGGTTGCGAGCTCATCTTTTATGTGCTCGTTTAATGCCATGAAAAAGGCTCCCTTTAAAGCGCTTTGGTTCCATCCGGAAGCTGCCGCTTTAACCCGGAAGTTAATGGAAAATTCAGCCACCGAAGAGTTTCCCTGTTTAAGGTTGAAAAGAGCTCTAGAATCAATAGTTTGGTCAGTTTCTTGGTTGAATACCTGGGTAAATTCAGAGATGAAATCGGAGTAGTAGCAGTTTAAGCTATCGTCAGCGGCAAATCTTGCCTGAGCCCATTCCAAGGCTCTTCCTGTTAACTGCGAGAGAATGAAAGTTATCGTCTTGTGATCGGTGGAAAAACTGCCAGGGGAGTTCTGAAAAAATCAACCGACATTGAAATAAAAATCCTTTGCAATCTTTCATGTTACCAGAGAATCTTTCTGGGAGACTAGGACGGAACTCTGATGACGTCACTGCAGGTGACCCCTGAGGTGGAACTGGACCCGGAAATGGTTGCGGTACAGCATTAGCGCTGTTCAGATAATTAGCACAGCTCTGTAGCATCTGGTTATGGGTGTCAACTAGACGGTATAACTCACGGAGCGTTTGTCCCTGAATTTGGGCATCCTGCTCCTCCAGTCGACGGGTGAGGTGATCTGCTGGGCCTTCAGTTTGGCCGCAGTGTTCTGTCATGATGGGTTCACTAAAAGCGACCCAAGAATGCAGAACACCACTGACGGACACAAGGAGGAAAGTTTAACAGTTTATTTATGCACAAGCACACAGTATACACTGGTTCAGGTTCGGGGCCTGGATTCTGGTTCACCGGAGTCTGCGTGAGAGACAGTTCAGTTAGTGTTGCCAACAGAGGTTTGATTTCCTGAAGTTTACTGGTTGTACCTTGAGGGTTCTTGAGGTTAGCTTTGGGAGAGTCTCTGTTGGTTCTGGAGATGAATTCATCAGCAGAGTCCGTTTGCTGCTTCAGCGTCTCACGTCTTATTTGAACAGACCTTGGCTTTGGCTTTCCCAGCTGTAGTCCAGAGCTGCTTGGAGGTTCACTGTGAATCTTCAGGTTTGGCTCTGAGGGTCGGCTCGGCAGGTTAGCTCTTCCAGAGCTTACACAGAGGAGGCACAGGTTTCCTGGAAAACAGAAACAAGGATTAGAATCCAAGCTGGATTCAAAAGTCATCGAATTACTCTGAGGATCTAGGCTTAAGCGCTGACCAACTGGAACAACACTGCGGCGTTGAGGCAAGGTCTGAAGACAGCTTAAGTAGTGGATCCTCTGATGATCTTGACGAGCTGCAGCTGTGCAGGAGGCTCCCTCAGAGGATCCACGGCGGACTCTGCTGGAGAAAGGTGGAATATCTCCAGCTCCCAACAGTAAGGGAGTGTATGAGAAGGATTATTTTTTTTTGTTAAGTCCTCAGCTTAGCTTTATGGAGTAATTTTTGTTCCATTATTGTTAAAAAATGAAGAACTCTTGTTATATGTGGAAATAAAAAAAAAGTAAATAAAAACTTGATAAAATTGCAATCAATAAATGAAACTTTAAATAGTTGTTTTTTTATGCGATTTTGCTGTTTCAGAATTTTTTTTTCTCAAGTTTATTTCGTATTTTATGTTCTAAAATTTTTTTTTCTGATTTTCAGATTAGAAAAAAAATCTAAAATATTTTTGTTTAAATATTTCTATTTTATTTTTAGTTTAGTTTTACAAATTACAGTCTTTTCAAATGTAAAATAAAAAAAATCTGTCAAAAAACAAAAACAAAAAAACCCAAAACAGAATCTGTAAAACAATAAGAAAAAAAGATGTGAGATAACAGCAGAATTACTTTTTGGAATTAAAATCTTTCTTTGGTTTGCATTTTTGGTTCAAATTTCCATTTATAAGAACAATAATGTATATGTAATGTAATATAACAATAATGGAGGAAAATTTCCTCCATAAGCTTACGCCTTTACTTTAGTTCAGCATGTTCCACAGATGTTCCACTGCATTGGAATAATAGGGCAGTTTATGGCCAATCAGTTAACTCAAACCTTTCATGAACCATTTTTAGTTTGTAGGGAAGCAGTGGTTTCCTGCTGGGGTAGGCCACAGCCACCAGGAAACAGTCCCTACTCTTTCTAGAAGCTACCTGAGCCAGTCTGTTCCTTAAACAGCTTTATATAGCTGATCATAATGCTTTGCCCTGTTAACTACATACATACATGTTAACATAACTGTTAACTACATACTTTAATGTACTTTGTTGAAACAAACTACATAAAATTATGAAAAAAAAAATTTTGTGATTGTTTTTTTTATATTTAACGGATTTTGCATCAAAATTAAAAATGTTTGCAGGGTTACTTTGAAATTGTTAAGAGAATAAGTTTTTTTTCCATCCAACAAATTCCAATTTACATATTTGCATGGCAAAATAAAGACTATTGCAGCCAGACAATCATTAAAGGATGATATTCTCACTAGATCTCAACCCTAGAAGATAAAATAAAGAACACAGACATTATTTAAATAAATTTTAGCTGTCCATCCTATAACTAATCATATGCATAGCAACCCCAAATTCCTGCTAAAACATGTCAATTTTGAATTCTTACCTGTTTTAAAGCTTCCACTTAAGACAGTTGGTCCATGCCTTCGATGCCAGTGAGCAGTAATGGCTGTCTGCAAAGTCAGAAAATGCGGTCTGAAGTCACTTGACAAGAAAACCTCAAATTGGAAGTGAAAATACCATAATTTACTTGGATTTATTTTGTTTCATTTTGTGCAGGGGAAGTGCTTGCTTTGAAGCAAAAGGGAAACGGAAACCACAATTTTTCTTTCAACCAATTTTAAAAATGCTTTTTTTCACTTTTTTCAGTGAATAAAAATACTATTCACATCCTCAAGTACTTAGATGGAAAAATACAAACTTAAAAAGCTATGTTTGATTTACTTGTAGATATGCAAAAAGTGAATTCAAGAGGTAAAAATATGACAAGAAAATGAAAAGTTTTAAAAGTAAAGAAGACCCTAGGATTTTTTTTTTAATATTCTTTTAGACAGTCTAGGCATCAGAAGAAAATATTTAAATATGGAGTCAATTTTGTTCCATTATTTTTGCAAGCAAAAAACATATTTCGTGGATAGAAATTTAGAAAAAAGATGAAAAGTAAAACAAACAACAACAACAAAAATAGAAAAAAAAAATGTTTAACTTGGACTGTTTTTCAGATTGAGTTTTACAAATTTAAACATATTCAAATTGCAATTTCCAAATCACCTTCTCCTCTCTTCTGAGGCCAGCTTTCCTCTGAAGTGAAGTGCAGATGTATTTCTATTGGTCTGCTGGACATTAGCAACAGAATTTAAGAGATGGTGTTTATACTGAGCTTTAATTGAAATGAATTTGATCTGTGAAACACACTTTTGAAAGAATGCAATTCGTTTAACTTTGAAAAAGGTTTTTAAAATATAAAATCTGTTAAAACACTTTTTTGAAAAAGAACGTTTGAAAATAAATCATATATTTTTTTTTCTTTGTTTTAGTTTGAGTATTTATACATACATATATAATTGTTTTAGAAAATATTATTTCTTAATATTTAAAGTCAGCTTTTACCACTTTTTTAGCCTCCATCTTTAGGCTTTTAACAAAATGTGACAGAATAAACCTACGTATGTCACAATATGCAGCACTGTCAATGTTTGAAAACCCTCTTTAGGCATAAAGAAGACAAAACCAGATAACCTTACCTTTTTATTCTGGACTTTAATCTCCTTTCTTACATATAAATAATCAGAAATGTTTGGGATTTCGACTCGTAAATCTGGGATTCTTTCTTTAAAATTTGTGATTTCTACACATGCATTTCTGATTCACACTTTTAGATTTTTATTTTATATCCCTAACATTTTCCAATCAGAAATTTCTGATTTCTACCAGTAATTTCTTTTGTTACAAGGTTATACATTTCAAAATTTTTTCCTATAGATTTGTAAATTCTACACCTACAAAGTATTCACTCTCTCCCCTTATTCAAAGCCAGACTCTAAACCCATCTGTTCCAGCTCGCTTATCTGTAAAAAAAAAAACACTGCTCTTTTCCCTACCCATAATTGTTTTTATGTTCCTGTATTTGTATTTTTGTATTTTTATCTTTCTTTTTATGTATTTTTTGTATTTTCTGTAAAGTGACCTTGAGTGTCCAGAAAGGCGCTGTTAAATAAAATGTATTATTATTATTATTATTATTAATAAATGTGGGATTCCTATTTCAATTTTTTTTATTTTTCCTCATAGATTTGTGATTTGTTCTTATAAATTGGTGATTTATACTAATTATTTTTGGACTTCTACCTATAAATTTGGGGATTTGTTAGATGTGTGATTTTTTGTGTACCTGCATAAATTGAGTTTTTACTCAGATTTGTTTCTAGTACTCATAAATGTATGTTATGAGGTCATATTATTAAGTCTTCTGGACCCCTAAAGTGGAGAGAAAAAAAAGCAATATGAGCTGGACTGATGTCAGAATAATCAGAATCGGCATTTGCCCTAAAAAGAAAAAAAAACCCAGTATCGGTTAATCTCTAATCCAGATGTATTTTTGTTTGCTTACTGTTTCCGCCTGCTAGGCGATGCCCTTCAGATCCAGTGTTACCAGTGTGAGGAGATGAAGCACAACGACTGCTCCACACCCGAATACATTGTCAACTGCACGGTCAACGTACAGGACATGTGCCAGAAGGAGGTGCTGGTCAAAGCTGATGGTAGGGTTTGTGGTTTCTGTGAATGCGCTTTAACTTCTTTTTTTCTAATGTTTAAATTTTTTGGAGCTATTTAAATCTAAGGGAGCAAATGCAAAGTCTCAAATTAGGCTTTCTATGTTCTTCTAACCAACCACCTGGGAACATGAGTCAGCTCCCAGAAAGCACACAACCTCCGAAGATTATTTTCTCTAAAGCATTGAAATAAAAAACGATTCTCAGCTGTGATGACATTAATTTTTGATCCTCTAAACTAAAAGCAAAAAACAGCAACTCATTATGTCTGCATTAATATTGAACTTTTGACACATATTTCAGAGGTAAAACAAAAGGAAAGGAAATATTTCTGAGAAGAAGCCAGCTTTCACCTCTTCTTTTTTGCCCCCTCGTCTCAAATACCTCCCTCATGTCTGACTTAGCTGCCCCCTCCGAAGAGGTCAACACAATCTCCTGCAATTTTCAGCGGAACAGACATTGTTATCTGTTATTGTACACCTCTATGCAGCTTCAAAGAAAGAGAACCATCATTTGATGCGGATCCTCGCATTTCCACAGCAATAGAAATCTTTGCAGTCAACAAATACAAGCCTGCGAAAAGTTAAATCTTTGAAATAGATAAATGTATATATTTAAACCTTTTTTTCTCCCTGTTGTGAGGTCTTTCTCTGTGCTTCTAAATATATATATATATATTAAAACACATCTTGAAATCTTTTAGTGTTGTGGGGGTTTTTGTGGAGAACATGAGTAAAAGAAGTAAACTAGATTATATGTTGAATTAGCATTAGTGAGCACCAGTTTAATCTGAAAAACTCACAGAAGAGAAAAGAGAATTAGGAGAAATTTATTGATATAATTACTTTGTCTTTGGCACTCAGACCTCGGCAGCAAACATAGCGCTTAATTTTGATAGATATGCATGAACAGGAGAAAAGAACAGGGCTGTTTCCCCCCCAGGCCTGAAACTGGTGATCAATTGGAGATAGATGAAATTGGTCAGTCTGTAGACTGCTGGTTAGAGAGACGGTCTGCTGAGCTTTATGGGGAGATCCAGCTGATACTAGAGCTTCACTCAGGGACCTGGAAGATGGAAGTCCAGTTGGAGGACACAGGCTGAGAGAACCTGTCCATGATGAGCAAGCATGGAGCGACAGTGGAGAGGAAAAACTCCCCGTTGGAAAAAAACCTCTGGCAGAACCAGGTTCAACATGGCGGTCTTCTGCCGGACCGGTTGAGATAAGACAGAGAACGCAGTAAGAGTCCAGGAGGAATGACACTCTGATGAAGCTTTAGCTACGATGGTGGAGGAGGGGCTGGAGGTGGGTTGATACGGGGTCATCTGAATGAAGTCACATAGACCAACCCCCGCCTGCACACAGGAGCAGACTAGCGGATCAGAGGCCTTTTAAGAAGAACTTTGGATGCCGATTGGCTTTCATGGAGGTGTGGTTCAAAGCTGATTGGCTGTGTCGTAGGTGGATGTATGAGAGCAATGAGTTTCTTCAGTTGAACTTCTGTCTAGGCTCCATTTTAACAAGGTACAGGAGGATGATGTAATGTTAACCTGTTAACTGCCCACATCCAAAAATGAAAAACTATTTAAAAATGCCTGAAAAAGCACAAAATAAATCATCTCCTGTTTTCTAACCCTTGGGTGATGGTCTAACCTGGACATTTATGGGGTAAGATAACTGTCAATACAAACGTGTAATGTGTAGGAGGCCTAATATCTAATTGTTACTTAACAGTATGAATATGTTTTAAAATTTTTATTTTTTAGTTCTTTCAAACATGTAACCTCAGATATTTCAGCAGTAAGAATACAAGTTTAAAAAATACAAGTACAAGTTACAAAGAAACCGCTTTGAAAGAATATGAGTACAAATCTCAAAGTTGCAAATACAAATCACAAACCCATCAGACATTTACAAATACAAATAAAAAATGTATAAAAACAAAGTAAATTCACGAGTATGAAAACAAATTCATAATGAATCAGAAATTTACAACTACAAGTCCTTAACATACTGGTAAGACTCAGAAATTCGTATTTATGACTCAGCAATTTATGAGTATGAATACCAAATTTATAAACGCATCACAAATCTATAAGAACAAATCAAACATTTTTAAAGCATCATAAACTTATAAATATACATGAAAAAAAAATTAAATAAAGAATCCCAAATTTACAAGTACAAATTCCAAATTTATAAATATTAATTACAAATGTATTAGAATCAGAAATATATTTGCACCGATCAGTAAGTTTTGAGTAGAAACCAGCAACTTATGAGTTTGAATTAGAAATGTACAAACTTGTTTGAGAAAAAGGGAGAAATACTAATCATAAATTTAATTACATTTACTTCAAGATACAAATTTAGAAACCTGTGTATACATTTTTATTATCAGTTATCTCACCTGTTGAACAGCAGCCTTACTGCCTATGTGGCACCACATCCACCTGAATGGACAGTTAATGGGTGAAGTACTACAGCTCTTTAAATATAAACTGCCACCTACTGGCGGGGTATAAATATTACAACCCGTATTATGGCTCCATCAGGTTTGTGCTCCTTATGCTGCGTTCACACCGGGCGCAGCTGGCGCGACAGAAGCAGCGAGTTTACATGCAAAGTCAATGGTTGACGCGCGTCAAGGCGCAGCAAAAGGTCCCGCGGCGCGTTTTGAGCAGCAGGCGCAGCGCGTCTGAGCAGCTGAAGCAGCGCGTCGGGCGCGTTTAAGCATCTGATGCGCGTGACGCGCCGCAAACGCGCTGCTGCTCGAGATGGAAAAATTTAATTTTTGCTGCTCGACGCGTCGCGTCAACCAATCAGAGAAGCTGATCTGGGAGCTGGCTGGGAGAGAGACACAGCGCTGATGACACAGACCGCTCTGATCACTCCTCTTAAACAGTTTATTAACGCATAATTAACTTAAAATATATACATCTGCCGGCAGAATATGTTCGCTTTTATTATTCTGGTGCCTGCAGATCGGATTATTTAGATGAAAAACACCTACCAGCCGCCGCGGTAAACCGCGAGGAGGCGACCCGGGCAGAGGCTGCTGAAGAAGGGATTCCTTCTGTTGGCGCACCGCCGGTATGTGGGGGTCTGAGCGGCTCCGACAGAAATAACATTGGGAGGCAGGATTGTAATCTGGATGAACTGACTGCACTGATGAAGTTTTCAGGTGGATTTTCTCACTTAAACACATATTAAAACTACTTTATTCCCACTGATCACAGCAAATATAGCTGCAAGGCAGAGAAAGGATAGTGAAGCTCCGCCCAACGCGCGTCAGACACACTTTTGCACCGCGCAGGCAGAGCAGCAAAGCTGCTTCAGCCGCGCGTCAGAACTAACTGGTACAACCAGCAAAAATGAAGCAGCAGACGCGATTTTGCTGCTTTTGCTGCATCCGGTCTGAACGTAGCATTAGTCTTTCCACTCAAACTCTGAACGGTTAACTTTTTCAGCACCGTGTGGTTGTAGCCTAAAGCTGTGTTAAAATAAGCTAAAACTCTAAATAAAATAGCTAAATATAATTCAGTAGTTTGATGCTTTACAGTCAACAATGAAAAAAATAGCTCTTGGACTTGTTGATAATTGATTTAAAGGTTACACTATGTGGGATAGGACTATTTGAATAAAACATTTAAATGACTGAAATAATTTCCTAAACTGTTTTTTACAGCCATAATGAGACACTATAATAATAGCATTTCTAACTATTTTATTTAAAATCACCAGAAGATGTAAAAGATGCATGTCTAGAACCTGTTTCGATACATCTAGAAATAGTTTAAAAAGATACTGTGTTAAGCAAAAAAGTCCCTGATTCAGTCTCTGATTTTCAACAGCCAACAAACAACTAAATAGCCAAAAAGCTTTTGAATGTCTAATTTCCTCGCTTAAACTCCTCATAAGCTATGAGTCCACTCTGACTGTAACGTTGCATGGAAGGAGGATGATGTATTTAGTGTGGGCTGCAGTTCAGCAGGTCAAAAGTTCAGCCTTTGCAGGAGTTATGGACGTTTTTTTCAATCTTTCGATCCAACACTCAGAGCAACACATGGTAACCTTGCACTTTGAACTTTCAAGTGTCTGATGGGCATCTCCAGTTTCTCAAAAATAAATGTAAAGTTACATAAGTCGTAATAAAAAAAACCCCTACAAGCTACCATTTTATAAGATTGACAAGAGAAATGAAAAATAGCTGTAATTTCTTAAGAACTTTTGCTCAGATAACAGTACAAGCATGGAGCTAATTATTTAATTTACTACTAGCAACACTAGCAAATGTATTATTAAAGGTGCATAGTCATGTTGTATACCTTTACAAAAAGACCAAAAACCATTTGATCCTGATGAAAAAAGGTTGTATAAACCATCATATATATAATCCATACACAGTTTATCCGTCCTGTTGGTGTTTAGAGTTTCCTTTTTGAGCCTGAATAAAATTCCAGCACTGGGCAAATTGGGCTGACATAAACAGACGAGTCTGCTGAAGGACCTACTGTAAAGCCAGATGTTGACAATTGAAACAGCTGTTTAATAGAGCGCGACTTTCCTTTGAAGTCCCACAAATGTCGCTAAAAATAAACTGATATACAGCTCTTGTAAATTCTAGTGAATCCTCCCCAGAGACTCGACTCATATCAGAACATTAAAGAGAAAGCAATTCCTGTTAATAAAAAATATATATATTTAATGGCAAATATTACGTTTAATAATTTAATGGTGCAAATGATTTTTCAGTGCTGTATTAAATAAATGGTGCATTAGATTATTTAACAGAACATTTCATTAAACATTTTTTGTTTTTTTTGTTTTTGTATTTAAACAAATATTTAAATATGACATTTAATAGACCTTTTTTTGTTTGTTAAATTTTACATTTCATTATTTCATGTTGCATTTGTTTATTTTGTGATACATGTATTTAATTTTGTCCCCTTTAACCCTGAATAAGTTTATTTATTTATTTATTTTATTTATTTTGAACAGACAGTAAAAACAATCAAGAAAGAAAAAAAATTTGAATGAAACAAACTTAAGAATGAAAATATAAAACAAATTATTTTGCCCATGTGACATGTAAATTTTATATTTTCTGTTCGAAAAGGAGCAGGTAGAAGATACATCTTATAATGTCCCGCCCCTTTCCTACTTGTCAATTTATCATCAATTAACTGTCAAAACATCAAAAAACCAAAAAAACACTTGTTTCCATTCCACATGATGTTTAGCCATGTACAATAATTTTAAGTTCTATTAATGTCATCAATTACATTATAGACTATTAAACAGTCATCTTATATAGCATATTTTAAAATAAGCTCGGTTTTAATCAGTTTATTAAATTGGTTTGCATTTTTATTGTTTTTAAACTCGTCATTCAATCCATTCCAGACATTCACTCCACACACAGATAAACAAAAACTCTTCCTGGTTGTTCTAAAGTGTTGTTTTTTAAAGTATCCTTCACCTCTTAGATCATAACCCCCTACTCTGTCACCAAACATTTCCTGTATATTGTGTGGAAGTTTTTGATTTCGGACCTTAAACATGAATTGTGAAGTTCTAAATATTACCAGGTCCCAGAATTTCAGTATATTTGATTTGATAAATCACTTGTTTGTGTGTTCCCAGTATCCCACTTTATGTAGTATTCGGATTGATTTCTTTTGTAAAACGTATAATGGATGTAAATTTGTTTTGTATGTATTCCCCCAAACTTTCACACAATATGTTAAATGTGGTACAATGAGTGTGTTGTACAGAATAAACAAAGATTTGTAGTCCAGGACGAAACTAATTCTTCTTATAACAGCAACACTTTTAGCTATGTTAGATTTTACTAGGCTGATCTGAGGTTTCCAGCTAAACTTATCGTCTAATATGACACCCAAGAATTTTATTTCATGTACTTGTTCTAAATCAACACTTTCAAATGATATTTTAATTGGTTTTAACAGGAAATCTTCTCCTACACTGTTTACAATTGATCACTGTGAAACTTTATGGAGTGGAAATTGTTCATTTACTGTCTGAAAAGCTGTACTGAATAAAATTTCTTTTTTGCATACAATCTGTAGACAAAATGACATTAAAAGTTGTCTAAGTCTATGTTTGATCAAACAGAAAAATTCCATCTGCAGCAGAAGACTCAAAACACCTCTACAAGTAGATACCAATTTGTGATATAAGGAACCAGTTTTTTTTTTCTTCAAATAAATGTTTTTAATCATTCTTCAACAATTATCTATGAGGCCAAAGTCAGATGAAATTCACTTCTTCCAACAACTTTGCTAAAACTTATTGCTAACATAGCCCCTAATTTTATGTATCTATCGTTAAAAATTATGCATTTCTTAAAAAATGTCCATGCCTGCACTTTTTCTACCATTTTCTCTTCCAGATAACGGAACCTGCTGCGACATAACGGATGTAACCAATAAGAGGAAACTGTACCTTTTGCAGCCAGCTGCAGTTTTTCTTTAAACGGAAATACAGACAAATATCATCCAATAGTATCAGACTGAGAATCGATATCTCCATAAGTCAAACAGAGCAATAAAGTGCTGCGAGAGCAAAGCGGAACAAAAGACTCCAAAGTTACATGTTCAATCTCAGCAATCGAATTACTGCAGAGAAAATGTTCCCCTCGTTCTCCAATGACAGGAGGCTCTATAACGCTCCATTAATCATATTTATTCAATTTGGAAATTCTTTAAAATAAAAAAAATCCCTCTTCTCTTACAGGAATACACTATCGGAAGTCCTGCGCGTCCTCTGGGGCCTGCCTCATCGCCTCCTCCGGTTATCAGCAGTTCTGTACTGGCAGGTTGAACTCAGTGTGCATCACCTGCTGCAACACGCAGCTCTGCAATGGCCCCAAGAGGAAGCGCCCCGTTCTCTCGGCTGCGCCTTCCAACAGACACGCCCTGCTCTTCTTGATGGCGCCGATGCTTATTCATCTGACGTAGACGTTCCTTCTGCATCCTACAATACAGTTCAATATCTGGACTTTCAGCTAAACTAATGTTTTAAACTAATACAGGGGCTTTGAACCAGGAGCGTAGCTAGAAGAGGGGCCAGGGGTGGCCATGCCCACCATTAATCAATCAAGTTAAATCCTTAATTTTTGGGATGTTTTAAGTTTTTAGTGTATTAACCATAAACTGACTATGAAAATAGAGTAAGAATTTTTATTTAGAGGCGCCTTTAAAAAAAAACTATCTATGTTTATGTATGAAGATATAAAAAACAAAGATAAAACATAACCATACATTATTAAAAGATAAAATCACAAAAAAAAAAAAAAAAAAGTCTATTATCCTTAAATTAAAGATGAGAAATACAGAATTCATGCCCTTTTCAAAGCTTTTTTTTTTTCGGTTTTATTGGGGAGAAAGCAAAGACTTATATTTCTGTGAATCAAAAAGATGTTTTCTAAGTAATTAAAGATTACACCAGAACCAATTTAATGTTTAAGTTCATTACAGTTCATAAATTTGCTGCATTTTCTTTGGGTTTTTTTTTTGCATTTTACTATTTTGTTTGTAGTGTTCTTTTGTTAGCCTCGTGAGACCATCCTGATCTCGCGAGCTTTCAAGATTTCACTCGCTAATCAGTCTGGAGACTTTCCGTTAAAGAAAATTTGGAGCCGTTCACGAAACGAACGTCCAATCAGCGTTGGCTTTGAGGCGGGTTGAGGTGTGACGCAACGAGAAGCGCGACAGTTCAGTCTAAAGAACATGGCGGCTTCAGCCGATGAAACTAGCGTTAGCATGGCTATCGAGCAAGTTTTATCGGAATTACAGAGTATTTCTTTACTGAAAGAAGAGCAAAACACTGCTCTGGAGGCTTTTCTCAGAGGAAAAGATGTTTTTGCTCTTTTCCCGACTGGTTTCGGCAAGAGTAGCCTGGCTGTTCGTACGTTATATGCTTCGTTGATCTGATTGGTTTATTTGGCCCGTCTATCACCAACATAGGCCAATCAGCTAACCAGTATTTTCGCCCCTTCCCAAAAAATTACTTCAACGGAAGGTTTCCAGATGGATATGCGGAGCAAATCCATCTGGCGGAGTCAGATTATTCTTTTGTTGCATGTCCACCATAAAAAATGCTTTGAGTTATTATTCTTCTACCAACCTTTTTAATCTCCTGAATGTTGACCTTTTGTTACAGGGCCTTCCTGGGGCTCTAAGCAGCAACTGGTGAGCAGATTCAGACTCCGCATCACTGTTGATCCAATGGATGCCGGGACCTCTCTGCATCAGTTTTTCAGCCGTTCTACAGGACCATTTCCCTCTGCAGCCACATCGTTTCTTACTTTCTTTGCTTTTAGTGAAGTCGAGCGTTCTGTAATCAGTGCCAGTAGAACTTCTGATCATTTTGAGGCTTTCCTTTGGTGATAATCCGGTTTAAAACATCTGTGTTTAGCTTATTTTGTGTTGGTATTCTAGCTGTTATCTCTCAGAAGGCATTTTGAAGCATATTTATCCACTGCCAGATTTTATTTCTTGTTTCATAATACAGTAGGAAGTATAAAGGAATCTCAATCATATAATAGAAAGGATTATTTAAAATAACATAAAATTGCTATTTAGTGCTAATTTAAAATGAGTGAGAAAAATCCTTTTTTTTAATCTAAGGAGAAAATATGCACTATTATTCTGACATGCATCCACTTATTTTCACAAATGCCTTACATTTCTGTTTCACTCTACTTTTAAATCTGTTTATGCTGACAAATAATGGATTTTTCAAGAGTTGGTGTTTTACCGTGCTTTATTTTAAGTGGAGCAGGGACTGAGCGCCTGATGGATGTTCATGGCTTTTTCTAAAGTCTTCTGTGAAGAGTAACGCTGTATTCTGCTGATATGTGATTTCAATAAATGTTGCAGAAAAATCAGCTCTCACATCATGTTCGTGAAGACTCCTCAGCTCCTCCTAACGTGGCACCCTTTATATATGCTGAGTCACTTCCTGACTGCCCTACAAGCTGTTACAATTGGCATCAACTTGATATTTAATATTTCATTATTTTAGTAAATGAGTCATAACTTGCCATTTTACTCCTTCTAAAATGATCTTTAAATTCCTGTTTTATTAGAAAAAAAGCTCATTTATAGCTTTTTATTTTCTCGCCAGGGTTTCACTTGTGTTTAGTCATGAGGATGTAGCTTTAGAGCATTAGCGGTTTGCAGTGGTTTGTATGGAGGACCAGAGGTGTCAGTATAAAAAAAAAAACCAATGTCAGATTAAATCATATATTTAGAAATCCCATTTGAAAAGTGTTTCATAATCGCACATTTTAAATTAAATTATAAATGAGGACTTGTACGTTGTATTTATTAATCCATGAAATAAATACTGCAATTTGACTATTTTTCAAATTCCAAAGGGAGATTAAAAGGAAAATAATGAAACCTTTCCTCATCAGACATTTTAAAAGAAATATCCTCTTTCTATTTTCTTTTTCAGTTTGCATTTTCAAATCCTTTTTTATTTCTTCTTTTTTTTTTTTTTTTAGGATTTCCCTGAACCAACAAGAGCTTAAAACCATTTTAGTAAAAAGGCTTATTAACTGTTTGGTAACCACGGATTACGTTTGGTAACAGCTTATAAACAGTTTGGTAACTGCTTATTATCGGTTTAATTACTGGTTATTAACAGTTTGCCAAATGCTTATTGATAGTATAATAACAGTATAAATAAAGATCTCATAACAGCTTATTACCAACACCTCATTGGCAACGGTCATGCAAAAGCTAAAGGTAAAGCAAATGGGAAACTGTTAAGTAAAGTAAAAAGGATAAAGGAATACAATAAATCGTAAAGTGAAATAGAAAATTGTAAAAAAAAAAAAAAAGCCTATTGAAATGTTTTGTAAGAAAATGTTCTTATAAGTAGGTTAATAATTTGTGCTTTTGAGATCTTAATTAAAAAATAGGATTTGAAAATATATTGTCAAATTCTGGTGTTTGATGATGGTTTGTTAAATGGATGGAAGTCAATATTAAATTTTATTGAAACAACAATTGAAGACTTTGGCACTCAGGCAGTTGGGTACATTAACAATGAATTTTACTTTGAGCTACAGAATGAAGCCCCCAACCGCCCCCCGAGGCATGAAACCGATGGTGAAATGGAGAATAAAAAAGAATGCCTGCTGGAAAAAGGTACAAGTTTGTATAAACCTCCATGATGAGCAAGCATAGAGCGACAGTTGGGAGAAAAGAAAATCACATTCCCACAAAACTATTATTCAAATGCTAAATTTGAAATATTTCTATTTCTTTTTCACTGACTTCTCTGGTCCTTTATCGGTTTGTTTTCAATTATTGCACAAGCTACAAAAACTTGCAAAAGTAGCAACACTGAGCGACTGTCTGCAGGTCAGTCCCTGATTGGTGGAATTGTCTTTTTTGGTGGAATACAGATGCAGTTCTCTCAGAAATAACCTAAAAATACATAAATGATTTCTGTTAACAATATAGAAATATAGACTGAAGTAATTGGTATTAATCTTTGCATAGAATTTTCCAAAATGGCATTTGATTCATAATTTTAAATGTATTTTTAAATATTCAACAAGTCATTTACTTATTTAGTCACACATTTTATAACTTAACGGTTTAGTATCTATTAATACAATTTACCATCTTAGGCAAGGCAAAGGTAACCAAACATTTCAGCATGTGACTTGAATTACATTTCAGCAGATCCCCTAAAAATATGTATAATTCATTTACTTTTTTTTGTACAAAAATACAAATATTATTTTAATTTTAAAATAAGTATAGCCTTTGCAATTGATATTTTTGGTATTTTAATAGATTTATTTGGCATTTCAATTGTATTTATACATTTTTTTTTTTTTTTTACATTTTAGACTTTAATTGCATACTTGAATTACCTGAACAGACAGACGACCTTGCAATCCCCTACTTGGTGCCCTATGACATATTTTCAGATTTAAAAAAAAGAGATTATGCTGTTTAAAACTCTATTAAGGTGGACACTTCTAGAAAAAAATGTTCCAGGCCATAGATACATTGGAAACAACTTGTAGCACATGTTTTTGTGACATTTTTAAGTGTCAAAATTTCCAAGTGTAATGAAAGTTCTAAAAGTAATTATCACTTTGTTGACCTCTGTGCATGCGTGGTTCTAGACAGGGGCCAACGGGGGCCAGTACCCCTTTAGACCATGTCCTGGCCCCTGTTATGGCCCCTGTACTGAAGACATAATACTCAAAGAAATTTTCATGATGATTTGCACTGGAAAAGACATTACTTACGGTTACTGACGGGTCCTTTGGATCCATTTCATTTTTTTTCTTTACAAATTCTTTATTACTAATTATTTAAAAACATTAAGATGATAGCTTCAATGGTATTGAGATAAGTTTTCATCTGCTAAATGTTTTTTTTTTCAAAATAAATTTTAAAAACAGCTGAATTTATCAGTTTTTCTTGAGTACCAATTTAGATTTTATAGAAAACGGTTATTTTAAGTGAAATTAAAAATATTTAAAATTCCTAAATTCTGAATATATATTGACCTAATGAGATATACAATTTTAATTAAACCTAATTGAATAAAAAATACCTTCATGCAGCTATCGTAATATATTTGAATCCCTTGCTCTGATTTTTATTTTTAATGATTTTCTGGGCCCCCATGAAAACACGCTGGCCCCCTCCTGGCCCCCTGGTACATTTGGTCTAGAACCACCACTGCCTCTGTGCATTGCATACTGTTAGCTTTACACAACATTAGCTTTATGCACGGTTAGCTGAAGGAACTGCTTCAGACAGTTGATATACAGTGAAAAAGTCATGACCAAAGGCTCTTTCATAGGCAGGAGTCCTGCATATGAAAATCAGTGCGTCCAATTTGAGCAACTTTTGTGAGGTTAAAAAAACACATTAGTCACATTTTTCGCAAATATGTCTAACAGTGGTAAAATCACAGCTTTACATGCCACAATGGTCCATTCTGGATTGAGATTTAATTCTCCTGATTAAGTCCTAATATGCTGCTGTTCTAGTAAATATGTTGATACACACAGTCTGGGGTGTCTTGAAGGTGAAATGACTTTTGTTGTGTTTTATACTGTTTATTCACAAAAATAATAATAGCTGTAAATGTATCAAAATATTTGATCAAAATAATTTTGTATTTCTTACCATTGCACTGTGTCAAAAAGTTCAATTTTGACCTTAAACCTGTTTATTTCTTTTCTTATTTAATTGTTCTATATTTAGACAGAAATAACCTCTGGAAACCCTCATCGGTTGGTGGTTTATTTAGCCTCCATAGGTCCATTCAAGACCTTGCTTTGGTTTAAAATTAGCATATTGACCCAAGAACAAAAGTAAAGGTCATTATGAAGATAATCTAGTAAGAGTCATTGTCCTCAGAGAAACAACTCTTTTATCAACATGAGCTGAAGAGCCGCTCATAGAGGAAGAAGCCATAATAGAAAACCAGCATAAAAAGCTAGAGCACATCTAAGAAAAGGTGAAAAAAAATCCTATTTTCTGGAGGTGTGTTTAGTGAAACTGAAGTATTTGTCCCAAAGACTGCTGTGAAACTTCATGGAAGAGAGAAATCTTCTGAGCTTGAAAGCATTGTCTCATTTAAGAAGTATCGATGCACTTCACAAATAGGATGGTATCATCAGCAAAGAGTATCATGCGGAATGGAACCATCATCCCAACACATAAGCCAGCAATCCAAGTTGTTAGGAGGAATAAACAAGATTTCATATAAACTAGACCTTGTGGAAAGATACCCAAAATGTTTGGCCAAAGTCATCCAATTCAAAATGCTTCAATCAAATAGAAATCCCATAAATCTGTGGAAATGTTGGATTTTTAGGGTAGAGTTTCTCTGCCTTGCAGCCTAAAGAAAGAGTTCATTGTTTTTAGCTCGGGAGCACTTCTGATAAATGGACAATATCTGGGTAAATCTTTGTTTTTGATGTATTGTACATCACAAATAGATAGAAACTGGTCAGTGTTTGCTTCTAAATCGCCATCTATCTGCTCTTTATGATCGTTTCCTTCCACACCTTCAGGTTTAGCTTCTCATCACAAGGTTCTGCTTCTCGCACCGGCATTTCCGCTTGTGCTAATACACTAAAAAATGCTTTGCTTTTTGAACCCTGGCTAACATATTGCTTCCCTAGCCAAATTTACAGCCAACAGTCCAGTTCTAATGACTGCCGCCAGTAACAGATTATTGACTTTTGTACGCAATAACACTAACAGCATCCCTTACGATGCTGATGAGATTGCTGGAGACAAAATAGTGCTGCTCCCATCTGATAAATTAGTTTGGTTTTACAAAGCAGGGAAAAACATGAGCAGTGAACACAGTCATGATGTAGATATTTGTTAAATAATGAAAAAAAAGAAGATATTTGTGTGTAGATCCTCCTGCCAACTGGATGACTGAGCATCATTAGGCCTGAACACAGAGGATGGCTGATGATCACAGCGGGAAAGTGCAGACTGCAGGTCTCCAGGGGTTAAAAAGCAGCAAAAACAGCAGATTATTAAAAATAATAAGACTATCCTCTGCCTGGCTCTAATGAGAGCCCTAGCAAGGCTGACAGAGGTAATACTTCAGCTGATGAGGGACCTGAGCTCGTCTTCTTCGTTTACCGAGCAGGCCCAGTTTTGTTAGAAATGGGGGGGTGGGGGCTAATTATTTGTTTGTGTCTGGGCAAGGATTTCAGGAAGGCCTGGTAGCGAGATCAAAAAACTCCTGGGAGTCAATTACCCCTCCATCGTCTTGATGTTTGTTCTGACTCAGTACACAGCTGACATCATTACAGAGCAAAATAAATAAAAAATCCTTCTGAAATTAGCACTCATTTAGCCAGATTAGGCTGGACCTCGTTTAA